CCGGTGCCTGTGATGCCTGTGTGCTGCTGTTCCTCTGTCCCGTGTCCTTTTCCACTTTGTGCTCTGGTTTTCACCCTGCTCGTCCCTCCAAGGTGATCCTGTGCAATCCTGCAGGATGTCCTGTGGCTCACCTGGGCGGATGGGCCCAGGCTGGGGACACTGTTTGCCCATCTCAGGCTCTTATTTAGCTTTAGTGCCTTGTGTCAGGCCTCTGCCAAATCTTTGCAGGTCACAGATATCACTGGCTGAGCCCCTGCAAGGTCTCTGGGCCATGCAGGAGCCTGAGGCTCCCTCCTGACCTGCTCCCACACCAGCTCCTGCTGACAGGGAGCTGAGTCTCTTCAAGTTCAGCTGAGTTATTTGGCACTCAGAAGCCTCTGGGCTCCCTATCTCTGCTCCAGAGCTGCCCATTAAATCACACATAGCGCTGAGTGATGGGGAGGCATGAGATGGGATCTGTCACTGAGGTGGTGAAGCAGACAGCTCCATCCTACAAACCAGGACACATTGGGCTGGAGTCATGATGTGAGGGCTGGACATGAGATGCTGATCGCTCCTTGTTGAGGCCATGGGGCCTCAGATGTGCCTTAGGCAAGCACTAATATTTGCTTGCAGGCTCAGTTTTGTGTGGGATCTGTGGTTTTTTGCTTGTCAATTGGACTCCATCCCTTCCAAAGTAAAATCTTTTAGATCTGTGTTTCTGTGTTTGAGTAGTGGGGTTTGTGACTGTGAGTTAAGGAAGTAGCTTTGGCATCATCTTGTGGGTGATGAACCAGAATACAGTTTCCTGGTGGAAAAATCTGAGTCACAGAGTGGTTTGTGTTGGAAGGGACCTTAAAGCCCATCCAGCTCCAACCCCAGCCAGGGGCAGGGACCCCTTCCACTGGAGCAGCTTGCTCCAAGCCCTGTGTCCAACCTGGCCTTGAACACTGCCAGGGATGGGGCAGCCACAGCTTCTCTGGGCACCCTGTGCCAGTGCCTCAGCACCCTCACAGGGAAGAGCTTCTGCCTCAGAGCTCATCTCAGCCTCAGATGTGTGGAGGGGCCGGCTGGAAAAAAGGGAGGAAAATCCTTGCACCTGTCAAGCAGACGGATGTAATCCTGAGCAGTGTTTCCTGCAGTCACGGGCTCTGTGTGTCAGCTACGCTATGTCCAGCGGGAAGGGTTTATGGAGCCATCCTGCTCCAGTATGTGAGCAACGCCAGAGCCAGCTGGGTGCTAATCTGCCGAGGGGAAGCCTCTCCCCGCTGTGTGCCAAGGGGCATTTCTCCTTCTGCCACGGAAGGGTGGTGCCAGTGGGGAATATCCCTGGCAAGGTCCTGGTATGGCCAGCCAGGGACACCCCCTGCTCTGGCGGGGTTAGGAAATGGGATCTCCATCTAAATGCTGTGCTCTGACTTGTCTCGATGAGCAACTGAATGCAGAAAATTCCTGGTTGCTTTTTGGGTGATAAATCCAGGTTATAAAAAGCTCCTTGCATCCTAAAGGATCCCACAGTGCTTCATAAACAGATCCACAAACCAGGCATGAGGATCACTTCCAAGGGCTGAGACGCAGCAGGAGCAGCTGGTGGGAGCAGAGCTGGAGCTCCTGGAGCAATGCAGCTTAGGACAGAGACGCCCTGAGAGCTGGGGTGGCAGCTCCCCACATCCCACCATGTCCTCATGGAGCTCATCTCCCTCTCAACATGCTGTCTTTGCATGGAAAAAACCTCACAGCACCAACTCCCCACGCTACTTCCCGTCATTATTCCAATCCTCCCGTTGCTTTGCAAATGAGATTAATATCTATCACGGGAATTAACAACATCTTTCCAATTCTATTATCCCCTATCCTAAAAGCATGCAGGATTATTTAAGGGTATTATCACCTTTTAAGTGGGACAGCTTTCCACCAGCATCCTGCTGGTGGTCCCCGCATGGTGCTTCTTTCTCTGCTGTGCACCGCTGTGTGATGTGCGGATGACAGAGGATCTGGCTGTGCCCCACGCTTTCATCCCTGTGAAAGATCAACAGGGAAAAGGGTATCTTGGTGCTTGTGGGCCTGATTTTAGTCTGTTCGTGGAGAACCTGGAAACGGGACCCCAGATGTGAGGACGAGCCTGTTTCCAGCCTGTCTGCAGGGGGTTGCTGTGGGAAGCCGTGCCAGCGGCTGGGTGCTGCTCACCTCCGTGCTTCCCTTCCAGCCCGGGCGGTCTCAAAGCGCTTGGCTGGTCCTGCGCCATAAATCACGGCGCTGGGCTCCCTCCCAGCGCAGGAGCTGCCGGAGGGGGGGGCTGACAGCACGAAGGGACCGTCCCGATCCATCCCCATCCGCCCGTCGCGGCGGGGCTGCGCGGGGGCCGTTCGCCACCTCGCGGCGGCTCGGCCTCGGTGGCACCGGGACTGGGGGAGCTCGCAAGGCGCTGAACGCCCCGGGCACCCTCAGCCACATCACCCGGCACCGCCAGCGGCACCCCCGGCCCGCGGCCACCCCCTGGGGAGGTGGCCCTGGGAAGCGGGGCTTCCACCCGTGCTGCCGCCGGAATGGGGTTTGCCTTGGACGTAGGGCTACAGAGCAAAGAGGGCTGAAACAGCAGGGAAATGGCTCGGTTAGAGAAGGTTGGATGGGGCTTGGAGCAAGCTGCTCCAGTGGAAGGGGTCCCTGCCCGTGGCAGGGCTTGCAGCTGGAGGAGCTTTAAGGTCCCTTCCAACCCAAACCGGGCTGGGATTCATTTTCCTTTGCCCAGATTCCTTTGTGAAGACAAACTTGGGTTTAAAAGCTCAGTTTGTCAAACGTGCCAAGACAAGCCGGAGTGAGGGGAGGCAGATGCTGGGAAAACCCCATGGAGTACACCAGCTGCTCTAAAGCATCTTTGATCTGTGATCCATTGTTACAGGATACACTGGATTTGACCCCCCAAACCCTCTTGTTATTGGGGTGAAGGATGCAAGGTCAGATTCCAGGAGATGTTGCAACTCCCAGAATGAGTCTGCCTTCCCAGCAGGAAATGTTCTTGCTGCGAGCATCCCACCGCAGCGTGCTGGGAGCAGGTGAAGGCCTCCTCTGTGCTGTGGGCTCCACAGGGAAATTCGGGATTCACAGTGAGAGGCACCACCAATTTGACAAGAGCTTTATTTATAAAGCTGCCAGTGCCTGGTGTGGGTTTACTCACTCTTCCATCTGGTGACTATCGCTGCCACCTCCCTCGGTCTCTCAGTGCTAATGATGTACTTTGATTAGTTGGATCTGCTGCTTCGCTCAGCTCTCCATCAGTCACGGGTTGGAACTGCCTTTTATTGTGCTTTTATTGGCTTGAGTGAAAATCTGAGAGGATCGTATTGATCACAGAAGCTGCTGGGATGGCAGATGTGGACCAGCTGCATCCTGCTCTGGTGCGAGCGGCTCTGCCTGGGTGCAGGGCTGGGCAGAGGATACAGATTGCTCTTCCCTGTTGCCGCTCTTCCCTGTCCTGTTCCTTTCAGGCTCTGGATTCAGTGTGTGCTTGAGTCCAGAACACCCCCCCCCCCCCCCCCATGCTCCCTCCCCGAGTGTGAGCAGCAGCTCAGGAGGGGATCCTGCCTCTCTGCTGCTCTCTGGGGATGGCCCCCCTGCAGTCCTGGTCCAGCTCTGGGGCAGCAGCACAGGAGGGACCTGGAGCTGTTGGAGCGAGGCCAGGAGAGGCCATGGAGATGCTGCGAGGGCTGAAGCAGCTCTGCTCTGGAGCCAGGCTGAGAGAGCTGGGCTGGGGCAGCCTGGAGAAGAGAAGGCTCCTGAAGGGGAGACCTGAGAGCAGCTCCAGTGCCTGAAGGGGCTGCAGGAAACCTGGAGAGGGGCTTGGGACAAGGGATGTAGGGACAGGCCAAGGGGAATGGCTTGAACCTGCCAGAGGGGAGACTGAGATGAGCTCTTAGGCAGAAGCTCTTCCCTGTTGGAGCTTTAAGGTCCCTTCAACACAAACCAGGCTGGGATTCTATGATTCTGCTTTCTTCTGGTGGCAGTTGTGTGTTGGGGACCTGCTGTGGGCCCTGTGCACCATGGCCCTGGTGCCCACTCTCCTGAGTGCTGCCGTCATTTTGTTTTGCTGTTGTTTTCCTTTAGTTGTGAAGAGGAGGGAAGTTCCTCTTCCATGGCTTGCTCTGTCCTTGTGACACTGGTGAAACTGCTGATGCTGGCGTGGATGGAGGCACTGATTTCCAACCAGGACCCTCCATGAGGGCATCTCAAAGAGGCTTCCAGAGCCTGTTGTGGTTCAGAGCGAGCCTGGAGCCCATGTGTGGTGTGGCTCTGCAGGGGGGGGCTCCTGTGCGTGCCCGGACATGTTACCTGGCTACCAAAAAGCAGTGGCTGGGCCTCAGGAGAGCACTCAAGGCTCTGCCACTTGCTCCTGGCTTTGGGCATGTTTCTCCATCTCTCTTCCCTAGGGCCACTGGCTGCTTTTTGTGTGACGGGGGTTAGGGAGGGATGGGCGTCAGTGACAACCAGGCCAGGTTTTTTACATGCCTACATGAAAAGTCTTGATTTCCCGTTGTGCTCCAGCTGAAGAGACCTTGGTGGGGATGCCAGGCAGCCCAACGCTGAGTGGCACCTCGGCTCGATCCCTTCCCTCTCGGCCTCCTCAGCATCTTTGTTGGGATCTGGGTTGAACGTGGGAACAGGACCAGTTGAGTCGCTACCGGACGCCTTTGTTCTTTCCGGAGCGGTTCCCCGCCGTGCTGGCGCTGGATGCGCGGTCCCGGGAGCTGCGGCCGAGCCGGGAGCCGGGCGCGAGCCCGTGGAGATGCTTTTTCCCCGCGGGACCCCGGGCGGGGGGGATCCCGCGACCCGTTCCCATTCGTCGCTTGGCTCCGGCGGCTCCTCCCGAGCCCCGCATCCTCCGGGGGGGGGGGGGGGAAGCGGCGGGGCCGCCCCGGTCCGTCCCTCCTCCGCCTTCCCCCCTCCCAGCCCCGGCGGGCGCAGGCCCGGTGCCCGCCCCGCCCCGTCCCTCCCCCGGCGGCCGAGGCGCTGACATCAGAGCCGGGCCGCGCCGGGAGGAGGACGGGGAGGAGGAGCCGCACCGGAGCCATCGCTCTTCTCGGGGCCGGGGCGCACCGGCGGGGGGCGGCGGCGGCGGCGGCGCTGCTGCTTCACCCCCCCCCGTCCGTGCCCGTCCCCAGCCCCATCCCGCTCCCCGGGGCTCCGCCGGCCGCGAGTCCCGCCGCCCGTCCCGTCGGGCCCGCCGCGCTCCCGCCATGCTCTCCGGGGCACCGCCGCCGCCCGCCGGCTTCCCCAGCCCGCCGCCGCCCCAGCCGCCGCCGCCGCCGCCGCCCGCCGCTCCCCAGCACGGGCCGCCGCCGTTCCCGGGGAAGGGCGGCCTGCTGATCCGGAAGAATGCCATCACGGACGACTACAAGGTCACCACGCAAGTGCTGGGGCTGGGCATCAACGGGAAAGTTTTGGAGATCTTCAGCAAGAAGAGCGGCGAGAAGTTCGCTCTCAAGGTGCGAAGGGGGGAGCCCCCCCTCGACGGAGGGCGAAGGAAGCGGGGGGGAACCGGGAACCGAGCGGGCGGCTCCGCGCTGCCTCCGCCCCGCCGCCGGGCTGCGGAAGGGGCCGGAGGGGCGGGCAGCGGCGCCGAGGCCTGGCACTGACGGAGGGTGTTTGCGGCGGGGGGGAGCGGGGGGTCCCGGGGGCCCCACGGGGGGACGGGAAACGGGGCAGCGCCGTCCGCGGGAGCGGGCGTGCGGCGGAGCCGGCCGGGACAATGGAGCCGCTGCCGCCCGGCCGCCTTTAATTGATGTTCCTTCCCCCTGGTAGGACGTGGCTTTCCGGCTTTCTAATGCGAGGTGAAGGGAAATGACATCCAGGGGAGGGTGGGAGGGTCTGGAGCGGAGGGGAGTCCCCAGGCTGGTTGGGGTCCCCCCATCTCGGAACACGGCGTTCCCTTACACCCGGGTGTCCCTCTCCCATCGCTGGTCTCTTCTGTCTCCGCTGTTGTCATCCCTGCTGTCAGACGGGGAACATCGCAGGGTTCCCACCTGTACCCCTCATCCCCAGCTTGCTTCCCTTACAGTGTCCGCAAAGGTGTGTTATAACCCACCCTAGGTAACGCGTTGGATTCCTTGTTTACCCCAATGAGCTTTATTGAGCAAAGGGGGGAGCGTGTCTCCCTGCTGGAGAGACTTGGGGAAGTTTGAATGGATCCAGGCACGCCGGGTGACGCGGGTGCAGGCAGGCTGCTCGGAGGCAGCGGCGTGTTCTCTCTCATCCACGCGCTTTGCACCCACACATGAGCTGTTCAAACCCTCGGTGTTACTGAGATCCATCGAGGATAAAAAACCAGCCCACCTAAACCCATAACCCCCACCTCTGCTGTTGTTAGAGCTGCCCATCTGTGGGTACGTGGGGCTCCTAACCTGAATGAATGAATGAACAGGGGGCTCCGGAGGCACGAGTCATGCTGCCGGGGTGATGGGGTTGGCAAGGGATGGTGCTGGGTGCCTGCGGTGAAGGAGGGGGGGTCAGTGGAGGGGTGGAAGCTTGACTTTGCCTTTGGAAGCACAGGCGTTTCTTGTGGGCTGCAGCCTGTTGTACTCCAAGGCGACGTGTGTTGTCACCTCGTTTGCTTGGGAATTAGTAAAACCCTCTTCTGTTTTGACAGACGGGCTCCTCCTCGCTTCTACATTGACTCACGTATTTAAAGTGCAGATTCCAGCACTTCCCTTTTCCAGCCCTGAAAGGGGAAGGGTGGCAGAGGAGACTGGGATAGTCGGGGCTGTTATTCTGCCCACGCCAGAGCGCAGTGCAGTCAGGATTTACTTCCATGAGTCGTGCTGGTTCCTTGGCTGCAGTGGAAAGTGTCTCAGAGCGCAGGAGCTCGCATGGGGATGCGGGAGGGTGGCACGGAGCATCCGTGTGGCTCCGGAGGGTGAGGTGTATTCAGTGCCAAATCTCTGCTTTGGGAAAGCATTGGTTGTCTTCCCTGTCCCCTGCCCCGGCCTCTTCGCACCTCCCCGCTGGGGAGGGAAGGGTTCAGCTGAGCGGTTGGACGTGCCTCTGGCTTCCCAAAGAGCAGCACAGCTGCTGCTGTAAGTGATTCCTTCCAGCACCTTCAGAACTGCAGCGCTGGGAGTCTGCGCTCTTGGATGAGCCGGTGCATACCCGGCTTGCCCCGGTGAGTGGGAGCTACAGGCTTGAGTGGTTTGATTGCAGTATACGGAGTGGACTCCCAAGCCCAAACGTGGTGGGGTGACCGCTCCAGACATGATGTGTGCTGACTTCATCCCCTCCTCTGGTACGCAGCTGGGCTAATGTCTCCTTTAGAGACCTGCCGAGAGGTATTTGGATCCGAATTACTCATGGGCTGCATCAGTGTGGAAAGATGACCTAAAGCAGGATCCGCAGAAGTGATTCCATCGAGTTGTCATGTTTCAGATGATGCTTAAAAGAATCCTCGTGGCCTAACGCCAGAAGCCACAGCTGAAATCTCTCTGTGCTGCCTGCTTTAGTTGTGCGGCAAACCTTTCCATTTGGAACACTGCTCTTTACATTTACCATTCCAAAGTCTTGTATAATAATGCAATCCTCGCTGTCAGGGAGGAATTGTGTCTCCCCCTGATGCTAATGGGGTTTTCTGGTTTTCTTGTGCTTCCTCTTGGGTCCCAAGCAACATCCTTCTCCCAAACTGAGACGTTTTAGGTTAGGGTTTTGCTGAGAGTCACAGAATCACAGAACAGTTTGTGTTGGAAGGGACCTTAAAGCTCATCCAGTTCCAAGCTCTGCCACGGGCAGGGACACCTTCCACTGGAGCAGCTTGCTCCAAGCCTTATTTGCTTAGAACTTTTCAGTGCTTCAGGAGCTTTCCAGCAGCAGTGGAAACGTTACAGCCAGTTTTCTTCTCCTTCCAGTGCAGTAGTCCATGGCAGAGACGCATCATTAAATAACAGTGCTGTGTGTGAGTTAATGGATGGTCGTTGGGTTTGTTGTGTAGCACCTGGTGAAAACGGGAGATACTCCTTTTTCGTGTAGGCTTTTATGGTTTATTTTGCAGTTTTCCACCCTCTTTTTTATTCTCTTCTTTGGTGCCAAGCAACATCCAAACTGTGGCATCCCTGAGTTATTGGGTGGGAAATAGGCAACCGATGGTCCCAGTCACCCGTGACCTGGCTTGCTTTGAGGTGCAGTGATTTACTGCCGGTTGGGAACATAAAGTCTGTGGAGGGGTGATGGATGGAGCTGAAATGTGAGGTCTAGGTGGTTTCTTACCCCTTTATTGCTTGTACCTTGGTGTGATGTATGACTAGGCAAAATTAGGCTTGTCATTTCTGTGCAGCTGGCTCTATGTAGGTCACCGCTGGCCTGGCTTGGTTGTGGTCAGGCTGTTGGTGTTGGTGACACAGGCTGCAGCAGTGGGGCTGGGAGCAAGGCCTGTCTCACCTACTGCAAATCCCACGTTTAAGACTCATCTTTAGGCAAGATATGGGTTAATGGCTTAATTTGCGGGTGAGCCAGATGGAAAGTGGGAGCGAGGAATGGTACATGGCAAGTTTTATCATATGTGTCTCTCAATGAAGCTCTTTGGAGCAGATTTCCTTTAAAAAAAGCCTAATAAACCTCACTGCCAACCCCAGCTTCAAAGAGGAAATCCTCACCTGGATTGGGAAGCTTTGGAAGAGCTTCGCAGGGCCTTGGAGACTGTTTGCAGGTTTGCCCCCTCCATGGCAGCCTGTTTCTGGAGCATCCTTGGCGCCTTGGGGCGTGTTTGCGAAATGCTCTTAAATCTGGCTCTCAGCCTCGTCAGATAATCTGTGAGAGATGGTTTCTGTGATGGAGAAGGAGGAAGGAGGCCGGTGCCTTTGTGGGTCGTTATTCTTGAGAGATGCCTGTTGTGGAAATAGGGCAGGTGTCTCATAGCTGAGAACTGAGCAGTTCTGTGGCTGAGCGTGCTTGGGTGGCTGGCGGCCTCATGCTCTCTTTGCCACCATAGCAAGGATTCTTGGAGAGCTGTTTTGGGGACCAAAGCACTGTGTTTACTGTGGCTTCCTGCAGCTTCATTTGAGATCAGAGTGCTTTGTTCCCCCCCCCCCCCCCCAAATCCAGCTGGAAAAATACCCCCCTAAGGAATGGAGTAGATGAGGATCTTGGGCTCACACTCGTGGGGAGCAGCTCTCTGCTTGCGCTCCTCTCTCAGTGGGGGATTTATGTTTTTTAGCTCTACATCAGAAATGTCTCTGCTGTGGCCGTCTCTGCAAGCCCTAGTTGAAAAGCTTTGGGAAGTGTAGTGCCATCGCTGGGAGCTTTCCAAGGCAGTGGTTCATTACCTCATTGACCAAAGGAGTCTCCTGTCTTGGGGTTTGAGTTTGTTTAAACAGTTTCGGATTTGCCATAATCTCTTCTAAATGCGTGACGTGTCCTGAGCAGCCCAAGTGACAGCTGAGATGGACTGATTGCAGCCTGGGAGCAGGGGCTTGGGTTTTGCTTTGGTGCATGCCCAGGAAGTGGCGGGGCTCTTCCTCTTAATCTCATGCCATCAGCCATAGGTCTTGCAAAGAAGGGTGGTGTTTCCCACGTTCTCAGAGGCGGGGAACTGAGGCGCAGTGATTTACTGAAGGTCCTGCAGCCCATCAGAAGCAGGACAAGGCTTAGGAGCTGAGCTGCTTGTTTCCAGGGTGGAAGCACAGCCCCTGCCTGTGTGATTTAACACAGCCAGGGAAAACGAGGATTCTATCATTCACACTGAGCTCCCGCTGGTCTTCAGCGAGGTTTCTGCCATCTGCCAGCGCGGGCATGGGGAAAGCCCAGTGTTCAGGACAGCTCCTGTCTGCAGGGCTGTGGAGGCACCAGCTCTGCCCCTGGGTAGTGAGTGATGATCTAAGCGTTGTCAGACACATGCTCCCTATTCCAGAGCATTTAAAGCAGTTTATAACTGATGATCTGAAGCTGTGCAGACTGAGAGCCAGGTCTGGTGTGTTTGCTGGATGATGGGTAAGGCAAAGATGATGGAAACTCCCAGAAAGTTCCTACCTAAGAAGCCTGAAAGAGCAAGTTGGGGACTTCTTCACCCAGAGAAGCTGTGGCTGCCCCATCCCTGGCAGTATTGGATGGGGCTTGGAGCAAGCTGCTCTAGTGGAAGGTGTCCCTGCCCATGGCAGGGGGTTGGAACTGGATGAGCTTTAAGGTCCCTTCCAACCCAAACCAGTCTGGGACTTTCTCTTTCCGGAAGCCTCCAGGATGTGCTCTGGGATCTGATGGGATGGATGGACTCCTGACGGGTGGCGTGGGGCTCCCGTGGGTGTGGGAGGAGCGTCTGGGTCGGGAGTGCCCATTTGGCCATCCCTGCAGCACAGCGAGCAGCGTGGCTCCGTGTCTGGACCCTTCATGGTGGGCTCACGTGCCCCACAGCAGGGTGGTCTGGTTGCAGCAGCGGCGGCAGCTGATGCTCTTTGAAAGCCCATCCCTTTGCTGGGGTTTGCACAAGAACCCAGGAGGAATGAGCTCTCCC